GCGTTAACAAATGAGTCTTAAATTATCATGATATAGACTTTATCGACCAACTAAACCTAGCTTTTTAATCCCAAAGATTATGACAGGTTGAGCTACGTCGAATTAGACTAAACTAAATGATTTTTTTAATTCCCAGTGTGACTAAATTTGGCTTGGCTTCAACTGCATTTCATGCTTGAAGTAAAAGCTATTGCTTTTAGGCTCTAATTATGATTGATGAAGACATAAAGTGATCAATAATTCATCAAAGCCAAATCAATTATAGACGAATATCAGCTTCAATGAGCTCGAATTGTCTTGTACAGAATGCCATAAATGGAGGCCAATTTGGTCAAGTTAGCTAATATGTAGATACTAAAGTACTATTCTATAGATCTAGACGTAGCCAAATTAGACAGGGTAATGCGCTTCTCCTTTGTATATATTAAAGTTTGAATCTCTCCCCTGTAATTTAGTTTAGATCGCTCAAATGAAAAAACAGTTTGTTTTCTCTTCTTTTGCCCACTTAGCCACTAAGAAATTACACTCAACTCTAAGCAAGATAATTTCAATTAGTTGGTTTGGTTTTCAAGCATAAGGCCCATGTGCAAAACGGCCTAACACTACCATAACAAGGAATGAATAAATAGAAAAGCACTTGTGAGCTTCTTCTACACACACCAACAAAGCTAAAAAGCTCGTTTGGGCATGTGAGTCGTAAAGCATTTTCCTTGTGCAATGTAACAACTGAAGCTCATAAATTTTAAGAAAGCCAAAGTAGAAATGTCCACTTGATTTGAGTTGTGGCTTCACTGGGTACACTTCTTTCTTCAAAAGTGCTTCTTGGTTTGCACCAGTCAACGTGTTTTTTCCAGAGAAGCTATCGATTTTGTTTTTCCATGGCCTTATGGATGGCTCTCAAAGTCCCTAATAGTCTGTGTTTTTAAAAGTACTTCTTGGATGAATGTATTTATCTTTCCAAGCAGAGTCCCATGTGAACAAATAAATTCAGGACAGGAAAGATAGTTCAGAAATCGCAAAACCACTCATTGTTTTCATCTATGAAGGCAAACCACATAACAGGTTGAACTTTATTACATGCAAAATTAAACTTTTAAAGTCCAACCCAAAAGCATCCATCCAAACAAGGAAAAAGTAAATCCAAAGTATTCGTCTGAGAAAGGAAAAGGTAAACCACATTAGAGAATTGCACAGAAATCACAGACACATAACTGATGACACTAAGAGGTGTTGTGTATTAGTAAGCTATAATCTCTTTACAATATGATAGTTGGGTGTAACTGAGGATATTCGCTATTAGTATATCTCTCTTCGCATGAAACGAGGTGGTGTTATGTGTTGATTAGAAACTGTGATCTCTTTATGAGGAGATTCTTTGAATGATCTCCTCTTTTTCGTAGACAACATTATTCTATTCGAGGGGGAAGATTAAGATAAGTCACAAAATGAGTTTGTTATAGTTAGGTATTGGACTCACCATGGACTCGAATAAGAGGATTCACATTTACCAATGGAGAGAAATATTGTTAGAATCTAGTGTTAGTACCTTGTGTGTAATCTCTTCACTTGACATGAGGTGTTGTGTGTTATTTTTTGTTCGTTTCATCCTAAAATAATTTACTTAGAATCCAAAACGGAGAAAAAGAACAAGGCCCATCAAAAGTTGAAGGCCCAAGAACATAAAGGCCTCAACCAAACTTTTGTTACTGTTTCAAGTTTTCTGCAAATCTTGCTATTTGATGCAACGTTTGGTTGGATTTGTAACTTTGTTCTCACACGATGGCTTCTCCAAGAAATACTCGTAGCCCATTTATATATGACCGTTGTTTGGGTTAATATTTGAACATTGGGCTTAAATAAAGAAAAACCTAAGGATGCCAAATAAAGGAGACTTACCCGAAGCTCAACATCGAGCCAGAAGCAAATTGAAGCCTTCTCAGCCAAGATACAAGCCACATGCTTAAAATGAAAATGACAGGTGATGGAGACTAACCTACTACCAGCCAAAGAACATTTTCCAATGGCATTGCTAGTAAAAAGTTGATGACTCACTACCCTTCAAGTACTTTCGGGCAAGAGCAAAAGCTATAGCAGTCGAGCCAAACTACCTATAAAAGGAAGAAGATGCCCTAGAGATAAGGACACTCAACCAATCAAATAAACAAACATACAAACTCTGCTCTCAAGCTGAATTGCATCCAAAAGCTGAAATCAACCCATATTCAATCATTTTTAGTGATAGTTCTCTGAAAAGCTATCTCTTGTCCAGTATAAAAGCTATGCTACCTCCCTTAGCGTTGTAGTATCAATTTTCTAGAGTAAACTTGTTTACCATCCATCCTTTTTTAGCATATAAACCCTGTGAATTCAAAGAGAAGTAACTGCAAGAAGTTCAACCTTGCCAAACAAGGTGAAATCTTGCCCGAAGCTCTTTGTTTGTTTTCTAAATTAGTAGATCTATTACTTAATGCACTTTTCAGCATGTATTCAAATTATTCCCACCTGTTTCTCTATTTTAAATGTCCCATTTGCGCATCTGGATTTGATTAGCTTAATGGATATGTTTTCGTTAAGAACAATTTGGAATCAACAAATGGCTTAAGGGGCTCTGGACTCCCTTCATTCAAACATACAGGACTATGAACTAAAAGTCCTTGTTTATAAGGCAAGAAAAAGAACTTAATGTAGACTTAACCCATCCATGATAATCCTTTGATAGCAAGAAGTTTAAGTAACTTGGGGTGCAAGTAATCAACTTAAAACACACTTATTCTACATCTGCTATGCCGAGATAGCAGTGGCACGCCTAGCAATTAGTTAGTTTTGATTGCAAGCCTCAAGGCCTATACCTAAGGCCCCACAAACACACATTTCATAACTAACTTTGTTCTCTTCTTGTATCACATTAACAAGTAAGAGCCTGATTACATATCCAATGTGCCAATCCCTTAGGGAGCTGTGCTGAGGTCCGAGGAGCCTTCTTCAGAGAAATCTTTACCCGAACAACCGTTAACCACCTTTGGCACCTAAATTCAAAACCTTCGTCGCCAAAGCTAAAGAAAGACATGTAAGAATAATCTGACCTTTAAAGACAATGAAGAAGATGAAGTCATAGCCAACTTCAATAGTAAACTTCTTCTCTCTTGCAAAAATAATATGCTTGACTTACAATAGGTCTAAGTCCAATAATCAAGCAGTTTTCTGTGAGAGCAGTGACCACTATTTATATATAAAAACAATCCATATGATTCTCTTATTAGAATCCTTATAAGAAACTAACATGGTCTCCCAATTGTAATAAGCAAGTAATTTAGTATCAATTCCCAATTTCAATCGTATATAAACTAGGACATCCAAACCTCCTTCAATAAGACTTTTCTTAACCAATTTGCACTAAACTATCTAGCCAAAATACTCCTACACTTATGCTTATATTTTAACATTCTCCCACTTGAGCATAAAGTAAAAGTATTGCACAAATTTTTAAAATCATTTTAGAAGTGATCACTAAGTTTTAAACCAAAATAGTTTATCATCACACAAAAATTACCAATGCGTTTCAAAATATAGAATCAAAGAATCACTGCTACAATTATAATGCACAATGGATTCCAAGATTACAGATATCCAATTTGCATGAATATTGTGTTCAACTGCAAAAGCAAACTCAATATCATTATTCCCACTTTAACAACAATAATGTTAAGCTTTAGTTAACAACAAATGAGTATATAAAGTAATAATTCAACCGATTGATGAATCAAACCACAATTTGATTCATAAGCATCAAAATGAATTATAACTTTATAAGAGACATGAACTAACTAGCAAAACAAAACCAAAATCGTTTTCTCCCACTTATCCATGCATGCCAAACTCAATATTAATAAATAATACTTTGTTCCAATAATCTCATTACTCAAGCGTAATGAATAACTTGATCATCATTCAATTAATTGCTTAAACAAAAATCTTAAAAAGATCTATAAGCAACACCATGAACGATTATACTACAATTCCACCAACTGCCTTATCAAATCAGAAACGATTTTAAAGTATCAAGTAATTGGATAAGCACATCAGGCATGAGGTTCTCCAAAACGAGTTTCTATGAAGCACATTTAAACTTTTCTGATAAACGTGATCAAGGATGTTTTTGGTTGTTAGAAAGGAGAGAGGATCCTCGCCAAATCCTTTTTGTGAGGGTTCCGGAAATCTTTCAATCATTTTCGTTCATCATATACCGTGCGATTAGTTTTTATTAAGTACTTTTTATTTTTAATTTTAAATAATAAAAAAAATTTCCAATGAAGTTTTCTAAAAGTAGTTCCATACGGACCCATAAGTCAGTCAGTTTTGTAGGACCAATTAATGATAGTGTAACAGAATATCTGATTTTTGGCACAAGCTTTTGTGGCTGGCAAAAGCATGTTTAAAGCAGCTTTCCCGGGTGTCTGTTCCTAGAACCGGTCTTGGACTCTTATCGTGGGAATGTAACGGTAAAAAAGTACACATAGATGAAAAGAGAATTTTACAAGGGTTTATAAGAAATTATACTACTTATATTACTCACAATGGAATTTCAACTATATTTATGGTATCAGAACAAGCTAACCACTTGTGAAGTCCAGGAGCTACACGTAATTCTCTTCACCCAATTTGTGTTGTCTATATATTTGGTTTGAAAATTTACCACACGTGAGGAGGCAAGTAAGGATGTGAAGATAAAAAATCTCCTATCGATGAAAGAAGAATAAAAAATTCGTTAATTGTAAGCGAGTGGACCAAGATGTACTCTTCCCTTGCGATGCACACAAACATTATCCTTCAGTTTATTACAACTATCAGCCACCATTGGCGCATAAAATGAAAAATTTTCAGTAGCCAAAGACAAAGAAAGACAGGACTACGTTCTTCTAGCTAACATAGCAACATGTATGCAAGTTCGGGCCGGCAGAACAAAGTTATGAGAGTAAGAAAATCAATGAAGGACAGGGGAGTTGAAAAACCAGAGACTGGTTAAGTACGGATAGAGATTACAGATTAATACATTAATCCCATTCTTTACAAACGGTTAAACAGTACTAGTTTAGTGATTACAGTCTGATATAGCCCATCTAAGCTAGGTGATTTTCTTTTGTTTCTTGTCCCTCCACTCCTTAATCCGAGCTTCTATCTTTTCTTCCACACTTGCATGAAACCCTTGATATGGTTCATAGCCGAATACCGATTGAAGACACTGCACGATGCAAGAACAAAATTGACTCACTCATCACCAACAAGAGAAACCATTTCCGGTTCGGAAAGGATTTAGATTCGTTACCTCAAGCAGCACAAAGAAAGGAGTCATTAGAAATGCTTGAACACGGTTGTCCAAAAAAGCTGGTGCTCGTTTCTGAAAAGAAATGTTGTCGTGAGGTATATACATATATTGCTGCTTTCGGTCAAGAAAATGATTATCCTGAGATGTATACTGCATTAGGAACATGGAAGCAGTGCAAATTACAAAATCTCAGTTACCTCGAACACCCCGTGGCCTATGAACTGTCCAGTCCAACAGAACAACTGAGCAGCCAACACAACCTGGATAAGTGATTCCTCAAAGAATTAGGACTCGAGTTTTCGATACGTAACTCTTAGATTACATTGTTAATTTATCTACATGCTTAAGAAGGAAAGATTAATAATTTTCGTATTTTGGCCGACTTGAGATTTCATTCAAATACACTGCAAAACGTTGGAAACAGAAAAACAAGGCAAAGCAGACCAAACGGGAAATCAGGTAAGCTAAAGTCCAAGCAAACCTAAACAAACATGAATGTCCCCAAAATTAATAAGAGACGGCTACAATCGAAAGTTGATGAGTACAAAGAGCTTCTCTCTAATTAAAACCATGAATACAACTCTCACGCTTCTACTGTACATAAAGAAGATTAGATTTCCATCTTTTCTTCGCAAACAATTCAAATGAACTTGAACTTGAATGATGAATTATGTTTGAAATCATATATTTTTATTTGTCGTATCCATGGCGTGTCGTATCTTAATTTTTAGAGATTGTTCGTAAGTGGGACAATTGGGTCCTATGATATCAATGCAAAAAACCCAGAGCAAAGCCAAGAGATTGCCAAGTTGAACTGGTCAACAAAACTATCAAAACTCCTAACCCATAAGTGCTTAACCCTAACCTAATTTCAGTAAAAAGACAGCAAATTTAATCAGATTAAAAAGTTAGAAAGCCATCATATCAAACCCAAAAACCAAATCCTTAGAACCATAAAATCATCACCGAAAAAATCAAAAAAAGGAGAAAGGTTACTTCACCTTCCATGACAGAGAAAACCCAAGACGGCTAGCGAGCAGGGTGGATTGAACCCAGCAGAGAACACAGAGCAGAGCAGCAACAGACCCAGCTTTCTTATCCAAGCACACATAAAGCCCAGCATAGACTACAGTGAAAGCAAACCCTAAATTCAAACAGAAACCATTCGGGAAATTGTAGAGAGAAGGTGTGAAGTAGAAGAGAACCAGAAAGGTGAAGAAAATCGGCCACACAAACAGTGTGTGGATCAAAATATTAACTCGGTTGCTGTGGTAAGCACCATGGAAGGCGAAGTGACTTTCCAGATCGAACAATCCAGTCCTCCCCATGAATTTTTCAGGGAAAATCGAATTGGGTTTCCGGGAAAATAGACGGATTTTCCTAGAAAATCGATTCGGAAGGACAATGAAAATGTAATGAAGTAATAAAACAAGATAATAAACAAAATAATAAAGTAAAACAAGATAAATAAACAAAATAATAAGGTCCCGAACCTGCGACCTTCGCGTCGTTAGCTACCAGCTGAGGTAATAGGCCAGTTGACAATTTCTGTTAAAATATTTATTTAGTCTAATTTCTCAACTTTTCATATGCCTTAAGCTTCAATTTTTCAATTTTTCATATGCCTTAACCGGCTGAGCAAATGGTTCTCTTATCCACTTTCCCTCCAAACCAAAGAAAAACAAAAATTGTTACCTAAACTCCTACAATTGAATTTGGCAGTGCTGCTCAACTCATTGGAGACAATGGCAAAAGCTATCATGGCATTCACCATTACCACTCCACACATTCACAGCTCTTCTCTCCAAACAACAAAGTTGGACATCAGCAGCTCATCTACCATATTGGTAAACATCCAACCTTTTTCCTTATTTTAAATTTTCTTGCTACGTTTGAAACGGGACATGGGTGGACGTGGATTAGGCCAGTTGGCCAAAATAGTTTGCTCATCCTTCAATGCGTAGATTAGAGAAGTTGAGTGTCTTGTCTTGTAAAAAATATGGTACATGGAAATGCTTTTGAGTACTTTTCTTTTGCAGCTTAGGCAGTCTTCTAGCTCTGAACTATTCAGCGGTTGCAAGCAGGTAATTAACCATATTGATAATTTCTTAGTCCTCAAAAAAATGAAATTTTTATGAATATGTCAAAACCATTTTCTGCATTAAATTTTGGTTTTATAGATTGAATCAAGGAAAAAGAGCAAAAGAGCCTCTTTCTGCAGAACAAATGCTTTCCCAGATTGGCCTTTGATGGCAGTTCTAGTTGAGCACATAGAAGGCCAGAGAGACCTCATAACCCACAAATCCATTGTGCATCTCAGTGATGAAAACATAAAGAATGTCTGTAAGTATTATATTTTCCTAATTACTTTTTATATATGTTTTTGTGTAGTTTGTGGTGGATTTCAATTGGGAATCCATGAAAATTGTGACAATTTTTTGTTTTTGTAGATACTTTTTACATCATGTTCACTTGTTGGGGATGCTTGTTCTTTGGTTCCATGAAGGTATTTAATTAGCTACTCTCACTTCACTCCTTCTTCTTTGGAAATTTAATTACGTTATATTATTTCATTATCTTAGGGATTATTTTGAAAGGTGGGTGAATGTTTTCAGGATCCGTACTACGAATCTACGATTCAAAGACGTATAGAGGAGATGGAGGTGATGGCACTGGGTTCTGGATTTATGAGAAGGTACTTAATTATCATTTAAATTACTTTAATTTCCCATTTATGTATCTTATCTCCAAAAAATATTTCCACACTTTTGAATAATGTTGAGTTAGATCATAGATTAAGCAAAAGACCAATTGCTTCTCATAGTTTTATCAGGAAAAAAAAAAGGCTTTCGGGCAAGAGCAAAAGATATAGCAGTCGGACCAAACTATCTATAAAAGGTAGAAGAGGCCCTAGAGATAAGGACACTCAACCAAACAAACAAACATACAAACTCTACTCTCAAGCCAAATTTGCATCCAAAAGCTGAAATCAACCCATATTCAATCATTTTTAGTGATAGTTCTCTGAAAAAGCAATCTCTTGTCTAGTATAAAAGCTATGCTACCGCCCTTAGTGTTGTAGTATCGATTCTCTCGAGTAAACTTGTTTACCATCCATCATTTTTTAGCATATAAACCCTGTAAATTCAAAGAGAAGTGACTCCAAGAAGTTCAACCTTGCCAGACAAGGTGAAATCTTGCCCGAAGCTCTTTGTTTGTTTTCTAAATTAGTAGATCTATTACTTAATGCACTCTTCAACATGTATTCAAATTATTCCCACCTGTTTCTCTATTTTAAAAGTCTCGTTTGCATCTAGATCTGATTAGCTTAATGGATATGTTTTCGTTAAGAATAGTTTGGAATCAACAAATGATTTAAGGTGCTCTGGACTCCCTTCATTCAAACATACAAGACTATGAACTAAAAGTCCCTGTTTATAAGGCAAGAAAAAGAACTTAATGCAGACTTAACTCATCCATGACAATCCCTTGATAGCAAAAAGTTTAAGTAACTTGGGGCGCAAGTAATCAACTTAAAACAGACTTATTCTACATCTGCTATGCCGAGATAGCAGTGGCACACCTAGCACTTAGTTAGTTTTGATTGCAAGCCTCAAGGCCTATACCTAAGGCCTCACAAACGCACATTTCAGAACTAACTTTGTTCTCTTATTGTAGCACATTAAAAAGTAAGAACCTGATTACATATCCAACGTACCAATCCCTTGAGGAGCTCTGCTGAGGTTCGAGGAGCCTTCTTCAGAGAAATCTTTACTCGAACAACCGTTAACCACCTTTGGCACCTAAATTCAAAACCTTCGTCGCTAAAGCTAAAGAAAGACATGTAAGAATAATCTGACCTTTAAAAACAATGAAGAAGATGAAGTCATAGTCGACTTCAATAGTAAACTTCTTCTCTCTTGCAAAAATAATATGCTTGACTTACAATATGTCTAAGTCCAATACTGAGGCAGTTTTCTATGAAAGCAGTGACCACTATTTATATATAGAAACAATCCATATGATTCTCCTATTAGAATCCTTATAGGAAACTAACATGGTCTCCCAGTTGTAATAAGCGAGTAATTTAGGATCAATTCCCAATTTCAATCGTATATAAACTGTAGGACATCCAAACCTCCTTCAATAAGACTTTTCTAAACCAATTTGCCCTAAACTATCTAGCCAAAATACTCCTACACTTATGCTTATATTTTACCATTCTCCCACTTGAGCATAAAGTAAAAGTGTTGCACAAATTTTTAAAATCATTTTAGAAGTGATCACTAAGTTTTAAACCAAAATAGTTTATCATCACACAAAAATTACCAATGCGTTTCAAAATATAGAATCAAAGAATCATTGCTACAATTATAATGCATTACGGTGTCCAAGATTACAGATATCCAATTTGCATGAATATTGTTTTCAACTGTAAAAGCAAACTCAAAATCATTATTCTCACTTTAACGGCAATAATGTTAAGCTTTAGTTAACAACAAATGAGTATATAAAGTAATAATTCAACCGATTGATGAATCAAACAACAATTTGATTCATAAGCATCAAAATGAATTATAACTTTATAAGAGACATGAACTAACTAGCAAAACAAAACCAAAATCGTTTTCTCCCACTTATCCATGCATGCCAAACTCAATATTAATAAATAATACTTCGTTCCAATAATCTCATTACTCAAGCGTAATGAATAACATGATCATCATTCAACTAATTGCTTAAACAAAAATCTTAAAAAGATCTATAAGCAACACCATGAATGATTATACTACAATTCCAACAACTGCCTTATCAAATCAGAAACGATTTTAAAGCATCAAGTAATTGGATAAGCACATCTAGCATGAGGTTCTCCAAAACGAGTTTCTATGAAGCGCATTTAAACTTTTCTGATAAACGTGATCAAGAATGTTTTTGGTTGTTAGAAAGGAGAGAGGATCCTCGCCGAATCCTTTTTACGAGGTTCCGGAAAATTTTCAATCATTTATGTTTATCGTATACCGTACGATTAGTTTTTATCAGGTACTTTTTATTTTTATTTTTAAATAAAAAAAAATTTCCAATGAAGTTTTTTAAAGGTAGTTCCATACTGACCCATAAGTTAGTCAGTTTTCTAGGACCAATTAATGATAGTGTAACAGAATATCTGATTTTTGGCACAAGCCTTTGTGGCTGGCAAAAGCATGTTTAAAGCAGCTTTCCCGGCAAGTCTGTTCCTAGAACCGGTCTTGGACTCGAGTCGTGGGAATGTAAGGTAAAACAGTCACACATAGTTAAAAGAAGAAATTTTGCAAAAGTTTATAAGAGATTATACTATTCCTCATATTACTTACAATGAAATCTCAACTTTCTTCATGGTATCAGAACAAACTGACCACTTGTGAAGCCCAACGGCTACACGTAATTCTCTTCACCCAATTTATGTTGTCCATATATTTGGTTTGAAAATTTACCACACGTGAAGAGGCAAATAAAGATGTTGAGATAAAAAGTCTCCTATCGATGAAAGGAGAATAAAGAATTTGTTAATTGTAAGCGAGTGGACCAAGATGCACTCTTCTCTTGCGATGCACACAAACATTATCCTTCAGTTTGTTACAACTATCAGCCACCATTGGCGCCTAAAATGAAAATTTTTCAGTAGCCGAAGACAACGAAAGACAGGACTACGTTCTTCTAGCTAACATGCATGAAAGTTCGGGCCGGCAGAACAAAGTTACGAGAGTAAGAAAATCAATGAAGGACAGGGGAGTTGAAAAACCAGAGACTGGTTAAGTACGGATAGAGATTACAGATTAATACATTAATCTCATTCTTTACAGACGGTTAAACAGTACTAGTTTAGTGATTACAGTCTGATATAGCCCATCTAAGCTAAGTGATTTTCTTTTGTTTCTTGTCCCTCCACTCCTTGATCTGAGCTTCTATCTTTTCTTCCACACTTGAATGAAACCCTTGATATGGTTCATAGCCGAATACCGATTGAAGACACTGCACGATGCAAGAACAAAATTGACTCACTCATCACCAACAAGAGAAACCATTTCCGGTTCGGAAAGGATTTAGATTCGTTACCTCAAGCAGCACAAAGAAAGGAGCCATTAGAAATGCTTGAACAAGGTTGTCCAAAAGAGCTGGTGCTCGTTTCTGAAAAGAAATACATATTCTCGTGAGATGTATATACATATTTTGCTGCTTTCGGTCAAGAAAATGATTATCGTGAGATGTATACTGCATTAGGAACATGGGAGCAGTGCAAATTACAAAATCTCAGTTACCTCGAACACCCCGTGGCCTATGAACTGTCCAGTCCAACAGAACAACTGAGCAGCCAACACAACCTGGATAAGTGATTCCTCAAAGAATTAGGACTCGAGTTTTCGATACTCTTAGATTACATTGTTAATTTATCTACATGCTTAAGAAGGAAAGATTAATAATTTTCGTATTTTGGCCGACTTGAGATTTCATTCAAATACACCGCAAAACGTTGGAAACAGAAAAACAAGGCAAAGGAGACCAAACGGGAAATCAGGTAAGCTAAAGTCCAAGCAAACCTAAACAAACATGAATGTCCCCAAAATTAACAAGAGACAGCTACAATCGAAAGTTGATGAGTACAAAGAGCTTCTCTCTAATTAAAACCATGAATACAACTCTCACGCTTCTCCTCTACATAAAGAAGATTAGATTTCCATCTTTTCTTCGCAAACAACTCATTGAACGATGAATTATGTTTTAAATTGTATATTTTTATTTGTCGTATCCATGACGTATCGTATCTTAATTTTTAGAGATTGTTCGTAAGTGGGACAATTGGGTACTACGATATCAATGCAAAAAACCCAGAGCAAAGCCAAGAGCTTGCCAAGTTGAACTCGTCAACAAAACTATCAAAACTCCTAACCCATAAGTGCTTAACCCTAACCTAAATTCAGGAAAAAGACAGCAAATTTAATTAGATTAAAAAGTTAGAAAACCATCATATCAAACCCAAAAACCAAATCCTTAGAACCATAAAATCATCAACCAAAAAATCACAATAAGGAGAAAGCTTGCTTTACCTTCCATGACAGAGAAAACCCAAGACGGCTAGCAAGCAGGGTGGACTGAACCCAGCAGAGAACACAGAGCAGAGCAGCAACAGACCCAGCTTTCTTATCCAAGCACACATAAAACCCAGCATAGATCACAGTGAAAGCAAACCCTAAATTCAAACAGAAACCATTCGGGAAATTGTAGAGAGAAGGTGTGAAGTAGAAGAGAACCAGAGAGGTGAAGAAAATCGGCCACACAAACAGTGTGTGGATCAAAATATTAACTCGGTTGCTGTGGTAAGCGCCATAGAAAGCGAAGTGACTTTCCAGATCGAACAATCCAGTCCTCCCCATGAATTTTTCCGGGAAAATCGAATTGGGTTTCCGGGAAAATAGACGGATTTTCCTAGAAAATCGATTGGGAAGGAGAATGAAAATGTAATGAAGTAATAAACCAAGATAAATAAACAAAATAATAAAGTAAAACAGGAAAAAATTGCGTGGCCCATGCAGGTCTCGAACCTGCGACCTTCGCGTTATTAGCACGACGCTCTAACCAGCTGAGCTAATAGGCCAGTTGATAACTTCCGTTAAAGTATATTATTTATTCTAATTTCTCAATTTTTATATGGCTTAAATTTTAGTAGAAGGGTGGTTGCAAATGGTTCTCCTATCCACTTTCCCTCCAAACCAATGAAAAACAAAAATTGCAACCTAAACTCCTACAATTCAATTTGGCAGAGCTGCTCAACTCATTGGAGACAATGGCAAAAGCTATCATGGGATTCACCATTACCACTCCACACATTCACAGCTCTTCTCTCCAAACAACAAGGTTGGACATCAGCAGCTCATCTACGAGATTGGTAAGCATTTAACCTGTTTCCTTATCTCAAATTTTCTTGTTATGTTTGAAATGGTACATGGGCGGACGTGGATTAGGCCAATTGGCCAAAACAATTTGAATGTCTTTCAAACATGTAGATAAGAGTAGTTTAGTGTATTGTCTCTTGTAAACAATATGGTACATGGAAATGCTTTTGAGTACTTTTCTTTTGCAGCTTGGGCAGTCTTCAAGCTCTGAACTATTCAGCGGCTGCAAGCAGGTAATTAACCATATTGATAATTTCTTAATCCCCAAAAAATGAAATTTTTATGAATATGTCAAAACCATTTTCTGCATTAATTTTGGTTTTATAGATTGAATTAGGGAAAAAGAGCAAAAGAGCCTCTTTCTGCAGAACAAATGCTTTCCCAGATTGGCCTTTGATGGCAGTTTTAATTGAGCACATAGAAGGCCAGAGAGACCTCATAACCCACAAATCCATTGTGCATCTCGGTGATGAAAACATAAAGAATGTCTGTAAGTATTATATTGCCTAATTATCTTTTTTTATGGGAGTTTTAACGAAACACTCATGGTACTATTCACTTTAACGAAAAACCACATTTTTACCTTTCACTGATACTATTCACTATACCTTTATTTGTCATTTTTCATTAAAACTAAAGTTTTTTTTTTTTTACTTTTCATTAGTTTGTTTTTTTTTTTTTAATTTGTTTTTGTGTAGTTTGTGGTGGATTTCAATTGGGAATGCATGAAAATTGTGACAGCTTTTGTTTTGTAGATACTTTTTACATCATGTTCACTTGTTGGGGATGCTTGTTCTTTGGTTCCATGAAGGTAGTTAATTAGCTACTCTCACTTCACTCTTTTTTCTTGGGAAATTTAATTACGTTATATTATTTCATTAGCTTAGAGATTATTTTGAAGGGTGGGTTAATTCTTTCAGGATCCGTACTACGATTCAGAGACGTATAGAGGAGATGGAGGTGATGGCACTGGGTTCTGGATTTATGAGAAGGTACTTAATTATCATTTAAATTACTTTAATTTCCCATTTATGTATCTTATCTCCAAAAAATATTTCCACACTTTTGAATAATGTTGAGTTAGATCATAGATTAAGCAAAAGACCAATTGCTTCTCATAGTTTTATCAGGAAAAAAAAAGGCTTCTTCCCGTTGAAAAGGAGAATAAGAAGTAAGGACTCTTGCAAATAAGCTCCTCAAAACTCCATTTCTTATTAAGAAAACAAAAAAACACTTGAATGACCGTTTGAAGAAGAAACTCCCCTAAACCCAACGGTTATTGCACCCGGTATTAGTGGTTGACAAGGGTTTTGTTTTTTGAGTGAATAATGACATTTATTGAATGAATGCAACGTACAAAGGAACAAGTGTAAGGAGTGGTTCGGTTAAAACCTTGTCGAGACTTTCAACCAAATAACATTTTTGTTTGTTTACCATGGTTTAGTGACCACTTTGTAAACTGATTTTTGGCTTGTTTTGGCAACCCTGTCCATGTGTGCTAGCCTCCTATATAAAGTGATATGAGCATCATAATTAATTGAAGATTCAATTATATATTTTGCTTGCCCTACAACTAAAAATTGTGGTATAACTGGTGATATTATTGCAGCAAGAAGACATAGAAGAATCAGCAAGAGCAGAATTGTGGAGGGAGGAGCTGATTGAGGAGATAGAACAGAAGGTTGGAAGTCTTAGAGAGTTGGAAGAGGCTGGAAAGAAGGAGGAGCTTGTCAAGTGAATCATCATGCATTGTTTAATATTCTTCCACGGTTTCACTTACACCCCTTCAAACATCCAGACGTTATTGTATATATACAAGCTTTGAATGTTTTATCTAAGAGATAATAAAGCATAATATAATTCAACTAAAACCATGTTGAAGATAGTTAAGTTCTCATGTAAAGAAACACCAACTTTTGGAGAGTATGATGAAGTTGTTACAATTTCACTGCCATGAACACAGCAATCAGTCTGAGTGCCATGACCTTTGTCAAATGTCATTCCTTTGCATTGGAATCCGATGATTTTTATTAGATTGTGAGCATCCAATCTAATACTAATTGAGAATAAGGTAAAAGGCTTAAAATCTTTTAAGCTCTAAGCTATATAAATCTTCAACCTTCAATGTAGAATACGAATTTCAACGATGAGAAAATGACAATATTCTCATATCATGCACTATCATGTATTTTACTTTGTCTGTATAACATTTAATAATTGATCATGAGATACCGGCACCTCCACGTCTCAATTGCATGCAAGTTCTTCTCATTCGATGGAACTAAACTCTATCAATCCAGACAAAAAAGAAAAAAAGCATACCATAGCTAAAAGAACAAGAAACCGATTTGCCACTTGGCCTTGGACTGCTCAAGAAATATAAATAAATAAAACAGTAAAGTGGATTGATGGATAATTGGATTATTAGGGTTGTGGAGAACAAAACTGCACATTGATATGCCCCTTGTTGCTTTGCTTGGTGTAGACTCTTGTGGCACGAGAAAAAACAGTTCCAAAACTCGATGGACTTATTCTAGAAGAACCTTTTCCCTTGGTTTTCTTGCGAACCAGTGTTCCAAATTCAAAACTTATGGGCCACCCTAACTTTCAGCACACAAAAAATGCTCAAAATCCATGGGCAAAGAGGTTCATGAACTGAAATAAACAGATCGCATGCACATGCAGATGTAGTGGAACTTTATCATCATCATCATCTCATCATCTAGAACTAATATATATCTCAGGCGCTCTCATTGTCACGCAATTTTATAAAAATATCCGAGCCAACTCTCTTGCACGACACTCCCATAATCTATGTGGGTTTTTGGTCCTACTCCATTTTTGTATTTGCCTGAACCTGCAGTTATTGCTGCCTGCAGCCGTTTGCCATTTAAAATGGAATTATTTTGGGGGATCCTCAGTTAGTTTGTAAACTTGGAGGAAGTAAAATGAATACATATATATAATATATATGCGTGTATGTACAGAAATTCTATGTGCATGGCCATGTAAGAAGATGTCACATTTACGCAATTTCTTTAGTTTTGACTTATTTATTGACATGATTAATGGCTTAGGATATGAAATAGAGTTTCAACTTCAAAGTTAAGTCCAAAATTGGATACTTAAATAAGCGATTAACCAATCAAAAAATAGAAAACTAAAGTCTAAGAGATGAGTATGCGTCGTAAAACATTAATCACGTCAACCGAAAAGTGAAGAAATTAAGTAACGATAAAGTCTTCACAACGTCGCTTTTTTTTAATATTAAAATATTAAAATATTTAATCTTAAGATTTAGAAGATCAACCTAATTCAATTATGAATCACCTCCACGTTACGTGATGTGATCATGTACTTAATTTAATCGTGCTATCTTTCAACTAATATAAAATCAATTATCTCTTAATCCAACAACTAACTTAATTATTTGAACAAAAAAAAACAAAAACCAAATAATAACTAACTTGCGTTCTAAAGAGACTTTGGTTGAGTAAAGTGCAGAGCTTCAAACTTCTTGGAAATATCAAAATTTAGTTTAACTACAACTTGATTTTCTTTCTTTTTCCCTTGATTAGGGATCGGATTAGGCCTCTTGTACCATGACTCATCACACATAATTATTAATGGGAAACTATCATCTGCATCTCAAACCCTAGTGTGTCTATCGTGTGTTTGCAGTAGATATTTTGTATTAATTTATTGTTTTTTTTAAAGAATATTAGATGGTGATTTCGTTACGATATTTTATCATTTTTTGGTAAAAAAAAACTTACAGTTGTATTTCAGCCTCCACATGGCCACTATCGTAGATTTACAATAATCGAACCCAAATCATACCGTGTAACGCGTCTAAAATTCGTTCCTAACTACTAAGTTATTCCATGATGGTTGTACTAATTTATTGTTTAAGTCATAGTTTATGACCAAGATTTGCCATTATTGATTAGGCACTAAGCAGAAGACTGACCACAAAGCATCTCATTGGCATTTGTTTATTAAGTAAGATTAATAGGAAATTATAAGAAGACAGAAAACATTAGCCCTGGTCATGTGTTATGCCTTGTGAGGATCCCTTGTTTTCATATGATCAAGTGATTGGGTATGAAGTTAATCCACCCTACACATATGAATAAATGTTAAAACTATTAAGGTTTGATGGTAATTAAACAAAACCCTTGTAATTCTAAAAATCTAAAATTACCTCTAATGAATTTTAAAATTATCTTCGCACGAATTTAGTCATTCATGAAAGCTAATTGAAGAGCTTTTTTTTTTTTTTTTTGCCGACGAAAAAGGTAAAAGTTTGAACTTGGAATCTTTTTTAAGATATCATTAAACTAACAACTGGTGGTTAAGGGACACCGATTACAAAACATTTCGCGTGTTAAAATATTTGTTGACTACTAGCTACAATGGTTATAACGTGTGATAAATGCTAAGCAAACCGCATTTTTGTAATAGGTGAAAAATTAAATTATGAGGAATTACCTAAAAATATGAAAGAATGATAATTTATCTATAAAAAGAAGAATTTGATGATATGCATCTTTTGACTTTTTTTTTAATCAGAAAATAGTAAGAATTTCACAAAGAAATGGATTTTTACTAACCATAATAGCAGCGTACACTATATTTAGAAAGAATTTTATGAGGAATTAAATAAAATCATTCAAAAAAGATAATTTATCTATATAAAGAAAAATTTGACGATACGAATGACTTGATAAAAAAAATGAACTTTTTTTATCAGAAAATTGTACGAATTTCACAAAGGTAAAGATTTTACCACCCAAAATAGCATTTACCATAAAGAAAAAGTCAAAAACCAAGAAACAATTTTACTAGCAAGTAAAAAGAGAGATAAAAAGATAATCATCTTATCTAAATTTTGATGACGCAGACACAATCCGGCTATCAGCTGCCAATTTTATCCGCTTTCATAATTTATTGGATAAATATCCTAATTAATATTTACACAAAACTAGAAGTTTTGACTGCCAAACATTTTCCTGAAATATAGCAAATTGTTTAAAAACTTGCCAACTCAAATCCGAAACCAATTCCCAAAAATACAACATATACAATCCCATATAAAATCAAGACACAGCTATAATTCTGTGTCATTTATCCAAAAAATAATAAAAATAGAAATAAAATTTTTGGATAAGAATCACAGATTTTAACCTATAAAAAAGTTTTTGGATAAGAGTAAAAATCCATATCAGAAAGACCCCACCCAACTTTTTTCGTTTTTTTTTTCCTAAATACCCACTTCTTCCTCCTCGTCCTCCTCCCTCCCTCTCTATCTCTCTCTCACACGGCCAAGTTTTCAAAGAACCGGCACAACTCTTGTTAATTAGATTTTTAGTTTAAAAGGAGGCAGCTTTTTGTGCAAAGCTTTGAACTTTTTGTTTAAAAGAACGAGTTTTGTTGGACTTTTGATTGCAAGGATTTAATTTTGATCCATTACGCCGTTTCGATTCGAAAAAGTGGTTTTTTAGGCAGAGGATCAAGTGGGTTTTCTTGTTTTCGTTGTGAAATCTCGGAAAAAGGGCGTTTGATTCGACATGGCCAAGGCATTTGCATCCCAGAGTGGTTTCTGCATTTCTTCTGGGTTGGATGAAATTGCAGTTGGCTCCAAATCCCCCAAAGGGGAATTCAGGGTTTCTCCCTCCTTCAGTACCTCACAATTTAAGGATGCAAATTCAAGAGCTTTTCCTTCATTGAGTGTTGATTTCTTGGGAAAACCCATGACTCTCTCAGATCACAAGGGTTTTGAGAATTGGAGGGTCAGAAAACCTAGCAATTTCTCTGTGCATGTATGTAAAGCTCTCTCCTTTCTCCCTTTTGACTTTTGGCTTATGGCTTTTGTAGATTGCTGTGTTTTCCCATTGCATTTTTTGTGATCTTTTTTTAGTTTGGAATTTATGGTTTTTCAGGCTCAAGCATCTGTCTGTGTAAGCAGAGCTATGAGGTGGTGGGAAAAGACCCTTCACCCCAACATGGTGGAGATCCATTCCGCTCAAGAACTTGTTGATTCCCTGAAAAATGCTGGGGACAGATTGGTTGTAGTTGACTTTTACTCACCCGGCTGTGGAGGCTGCAGAGCTCTCCATCCCAAGGTATATATATATATGATTTTTAGTTTATGTTCTAGCAACCTTTCAGAGAGACGGACCAACGGTCGCACTAATCCGCCTCGGAATCATGGCAGCTTGATTGATTTATTTGTTAGAGCTTTAATCTGAAACTTTATGCGACATTTGTTGACCAAGAGTTGTCCATTTTATCAGATCTGTCAGCTGGCTGAATCGAACCCGAATGCGATTTTCCTCAAAGTTAACTATGAACAGCACAAGACTATGTGTCATGCTCTCAACATTCATGTGCTGCCGTTCTTTAGATTCTTTAGAGGCGCAGATGGTCGCGTGTGCAGCTTTAGCTGCACCAATGCAACTGTGAGTATTTCCCGCAATCATTATCTTGTTCATCGAGTTTTAATTGCAATGAATTAGTGGATTGTTTGTGGATCAAGAAACTGAGTCAGAATTCTTATTTAACAGATTAAGAAATTCAAAGATGCATTGGCGAAACACGGGTCCGATCGTTGTAATCTTGGGCCGGCGAAAGGGTTGGATGAATCTGAGATACTAAAGTTAGCTTCAATAGGTGAAATATCAACAACAACATCATCACCTTCCACGAAGGAAGAAAGATTGGAGGATCTGCTCACGAAAAGCGTTGATTTTTTGGGTGTTTGGAACAATGCAGGCCATAGCATAGAACTAGAGGAAGAAAATTCCATGGTGAAAGTTTAAAAGCAGCTTCTCTAGGGCAGTTTCCTACATGGTGTGGTTGTACATAGCTTTTAGCTTTTGGGTTTCCCATAAGCAGGGGGCTCTGGCTTTTTTTACATTGAGCCCTGCCTAGTTTGGTTAAATCTGTTATTTAGATTGGATGTTATGATTTGATTAATGATTTTTAATCAGATCTAAAGCTTCTTGGCTTCAAATTTGCCTCTTCTATTAGAACAAGGTGTTCTGGATTTGGTACCTAGAACTATGCTTTTCTTGGAAGTGCTTTTTGTCAAACTTCTTGAATTCTTTCAAATGCGTATGGCAATCTTAACTGGGTCCTAACAATGTCTTTCTTGCAGGCCCCAAACTTATTTTGTCAATGATTCCAGACGGGAAATTTAAACAATTCCCTCTTTAATTTTTTAAAACTTTTTCATTTCCGTCTGACTGTCAAATTTTCCGTCGAAATTAGGAGTTTATTTCCTTCCGCTCGCGTTTGCAAAACTTTCATAAGTGTGCATTTTAAGACTTACGGAGACTCGTAACCAAAGTAAAAGTTAAGAGGGTAAATCGGAATTCTACAAGATTAAAAAGATTTTTTTTCTATTAGTGTTTGTATTACTTGGTGAGCAAGTTCTATCTTCCTTACTAAAATAAATAAAATCATAAGGTATGAGGAATATTACACACGTAGAACTTATTTCGAAGTGCTTTAAGATAACTAAAAGCACTTTTTTGGGAACAAAAAAAAAACGTGTTTAGGTTTCAAAGCACTTGAAGTGCTTCTTGTAAGAAGCAACAATCACCTAAAATGCTTTTAATCATTTTAAAAGCACTTCCAAATAAGATCATAATTCTTCATACCTCTCTCTCTGTCAATTTTCCTTTCTCCCCTCTCTAAATTTATGCCACAGGTGTAACTTCATGTGGATTTTTTTTTATCAATTTGTGGCCACCCTTGAATATTGACAATGGAAGTATGAAGCAATGGTGTTGGAAACCGGCCGAACTTTGTCGGCTTTGCATCTTGGATTTGGATTATGATTTGGCTTTTGTTAGAGAAGGAAGGAATCATGGGATATATTTGGACTTTTGGGATTTTGTCTGTCGTTTTGGAATCAATGTGGCAGTTGGAGAGCCAAAGTTTGTATTGTTTTCAACATCCACTTCCCCTCAAAGTTATGTGAGTTTAATAAAACGTTTCACGTGAAAACATCATCCACTTTTTTAATGGCCTGTCAATTTGGTGGCATGTGGTGAGCCAAATGTGGTGTGTAAAATAAGTTAGGTCATATTAATTAATAGGAGAGATTTTTTTAATGTGACGCGAATACAATCTGAAATATCAAGTGTTATAATATAAAATGTTAGAATTTATTTTTCAAGTATCCAACTACTTGTATTACAACATTTAATGTATCGAGTTGGGTTTCTAACACATTAAAAAATTTCTCTACTAATATGATCCGAAAAGAACTTACATGCACTCATAACACCATAATCACAATGTTCTAAGTCAATTAAGCGATGAAACTTTACATGCACTTATAACACCATAATCACAATGTTCTAAGTCAATTAGGTGATGAAACTCAACAGTGATAGGCTATAAAGTACGGTGGTGCTATTGAAACACCCATTTTTATCTTTCGTGATCAAATGAATTTATGAAGATTAAAGAACAAAATTCACAAAAAGTTTGTAAGAAGTAAAAATGTGTGTGTGGATAGCACCGCCCTTAAAATATCACTACTTTGGCATCTATGACATGAATTTCTCCTAAACCAAATACATTAAGTCCGTTCTCATATGAACATTGCCAAAAATAGATGAAACTCATTAGTCGATGAGTTTTAAAACAAATTTATATTTACATATCTCAAAAATGTAAAATGAAACGTAAATGTAATTTATGCATCTTAAATTTGCGTCTTTTTATTAGAGATGCTCTAATAAGTGGAAAAAAAAACAAGGATTCAATTTGATTACAAGTAGTTCAAAAAATGTTCATTACACACTCTTCAAAGTTAACCTAAGCAATGAGCACATAAGTGCCCTACACATTCTGGAAAATGATTTTAAACAAAAAAATAAATAAGCAAAAAGGAGGCCAACGAGTTTTGATTGGTCAACTAACGTGGAACTGACGTGGATGGGCCCAGAATCCTACTCAGCGTGGGTCCCAGGGAGGAAAATATTGTAAAAAAAGTACGGGCAAGTGAGGATGATCTAGAGAATTGGATCCTCTCTAGGGCAATACATCGGGATCATACTTATCGGACAATATAGATCGTTAGATTTTTATCTAATGAATACAATTATTATAACTTTAAACAAACCTCCATGTTTGTAACCGTTTGATCAAAATCCAACAATCTATATTGTCTGGTCAGTAAGATCCCAGAGGCATTGCCTCGGATAGGATCCAATTCCATGAACCTGCATCGCTTTGCTGGCTGTATATTTGATAAAAAAACGTGCAGAATCCATGCAAATCCACAACAATCTGCAGTTTTTATTCTCCACTTCCATGTTAGTGGATAAATTTTTTTATTTTTATTTTCTCGAAGATTTGGATAAATTATTGGATAAGGTGAGAGTTGTGAACATTTTGATAATCTAGTAATGAAAAATTTTATTTGAACCCAGTAAATTTATTTCTACATTTGTTAGATTTTGTTGAATTATATATTTCAATTATGTCCTAAAAAAAGGGGTGTAGAGAGATATTATCAACTGGCAAATGGTTGGTCGAAATGACCGTGAGAGCCACAATTGGCATGTGGGTGGGTTGCCGGAAATCGAAAAAAGGGATTGATGGAGGTAGAGGAGAACGGTAAAAAGATACTGGAGGGGGGTTGTGGTCTTTGACGGCATCGGGAGAATGTGTCGTCTGAGATAGGTTGGGTTCGTCGGAGAAATATAGGGGTTGTGATAGTGATATCGACTACTCTCTCTCTCAATTTTTGGCGTCTCATCAATACCCTCTTCACTCAATCTCAAATGCTAAAAGCTTTGTTCACGAAGGTTTTAAGAAAATAGTAGTCATACAAAAATCCAGCCCCATGCAATTGGGCACGAAAAATTGAACATCGACGAGAAAGGGCAGGTCGGCGACGACATTTTTGGGAATGACGACCGGAACCAAGTCCGATTGCTGTCACGGTAGGTGGTTTATGTGTTTGTGTTCTTGTTTTTGTCAAGTTTGTAAATTTTGCATTTGAGGGTAACATGGTAGATTTGTAGAACAAAGTTTTTAACTTGGTTTCTTTTCTTTTTAGGAAAACTAATAAAAAGAATTTGAAAACTTTAAGTTTTACGATAAAAACAAAATAAAATGTAAAGTAAATAGATCAGCATTGATTTTTTTAGTATAAAAATATGATTTTTCATTAAAATGTATAGTGCTGAAAACTTTCCCGATTTTTTTTTTCAACGTGTTTAAGTTAGTTTCGGAAAGAGTATTATTGGGTTTGGATAAAATTTTCCTTTGTTACTAAATAAAATTTGAGAATGTCGGCCTCCGCCCAAAATTGTGGGCTTTGAAAAATCAAAGACAAAAACTTTGGATTAGGAGAAGTAAATTAAACGTCGGATGCCAATGACATACAGAAATCACAAGAAACTTATTGCCGAGCAAAGGAGGGAAACAAGATGTAAAATTTGTGAGAAGGCCTTCATATACTATCCAGCGTGAACGATTATTTCATAAGGTGCTTTTGGAGCCCGACACAATGTCGAGCTCCCACAAAAGCAACCCTTCAAATCTCCGTTCTTTTGTTCAATCATCAGGCTTTTGCAAACAAATTCATACACGAAAAGCTAATAGCATTCAAACTTTGCAAACATACATTCAAATCATCTTCCCCGTAAGAGGTAGAAGAACAGAGAGTCGCTATTTGAGAAAATAAAAATACGCATTTGAAATGCATCATTGGCAAAACATTAACTAAGGGCATCAGAGAGATTCCCATCGACAATTCACCATCCACCTGAAGGAGTTCTGATGTCCCTGTCTGTTTTATCGTCACTTGCACAGCACTCCATCATAAAACACATCAAATGCAATTACACAATGATTCAGAAACTACGCGGTTCGTGTTCCCGGTACACACAAAAATTTATCGAGATCAAAGGACACAATCATGCTTATAACTAAAAAAAAAAAAAAACTAATGAAAAGAACTTGAAAATTTTGAATTTTAATTGACAAAAAAGTATTATGAGTAAATAGTATCATAAATGACTTTTAAAGTAAAATTATCATTTTTCGTCAAAATAAACAGCAAGCGTTTCGTTAAAACACCTCCAACTCAAATCAATGGCATTTCAAAAATAAATAAATAAATAAATAAAGATTAAAAATGCATCAGAGAGATTCCCGTTTAGACTAATCATCAATCTCCAATGGAGTGCAGATGTCCCTGTCTGTTTTATCATCACTTGCAACTCCAAATACCACAAATTTTCTTTCTAATTACCTTAAAAACCAAACTTTCTTGGAAATTATGAAACATTTAAGTGAGAATTAAGCATAAATTTCAAAACTTTCAACCGTAACCAAGTAAAGGCTAGTAATTTCAGTAAAAAAACAGCAGAAAATTTGATAAAGAATGGTAGAACCTCATGCCTCAGATGTAAATTTGTTTCATGGAATTTAATCTCAAAGTATATTTAACGCCATCATAGGCATGGGCATACAAAAAATAAACAGAGCAGAATAATATAAGTAAATAGAAACAGTTCAGAGACCTGGGATTTGACTATGAATTTCAGATTCAAAAACCCAGTTGAGATAGGCCGGAGACGTAGAGGGAGGGCTTAGAGGAAGAGGCTAGAGAGGGTTGGAAGCTAGGGTTTTGACTCTGTGTGAATATATAGAGGGTGTTGCACGCAGAAAGGACGCACTTTGATCAGGACCGTTGATTTGTGACATAGAGATGTGTCAGTGTAGAAGTGGGCTAAAAAGCCCAAACGTAGCCTGGTACAAATGGACCTTTTCAAGCCTGGTAACCCAAAGGGTTTTCAGAGTGGAACAAGCGGTAGTCTAAACTCTTCTGATCAAGGAGAGGCTGTGCTTACTAGATGTTAGACTTTAACTCCTAGGCTTTATCCCTTTCAATTTTCGACCATCAAACTGAATGAAGTAAGAGAAACAAATGACAAGAAATTATCATGGTGTGTATGGAAAGTAAAAAGGAGCGTATGAATAACAACACCCTTTAGAGTATTCAAAAAACTTAAATTT